AGAAGAAAAATATTTAAAATGTCACGAAACTGCCTATATGGTGATTTAGGGTGACGTGCACCAGTTCCGTTTAACTTTAAACTGATCCGGCTACATAATGGGTATCAATGGGAATAATATTATCTCCGTGAAACCAATTCCCATAGGGTGACGATTGTGAGACCAGATTAGTTTAAGCTAACCAGATTTGGTGCATGTCACCCTTTATCAACAGTACCAACCTCTGCACTGCCCCAGTAGCCCTAACTCGTGCCACAGAAGCCTGAGTGTTCACTGGTTCACCTCTGCAGCTGATATCCCCATTTCCGCTGGGTTCGCATTTTTCCTTTTTTTGCCATCGTCAGGATAAGAAAGGGATCACGAAAGAGAAAGCTCGACACAAAACTCGAGTTGAACGCCTGTTGTCTCCCTGCCGCTGCGTAGAGGCCCCCCTCCGTTCTGGACATCTCATTCTATTTCATTATGGTCGAGTAAGGTCTACAGAAAGGACAGGAGACCTTTCAAACTGTATATACAGGGTGCGGCAAAAAACGCGCCGCAACTTGATATTCTGGGGTACCTCTGAAACAGCATCTAACGAAACGAAGATTCTTTCTTTCATTCGTCTATGCACCCTTTGAGCATTTTAACCCTTTAACACGTTGACGACCAGCCTATTTTTGCTTGTCCGCCGCGTGGTGGCATCAGGACGCATTGTCGCCAACGTGTTAATGCATGACGTAGCAGATATGCTACATACAAAAAAAAAAAACATTTTTAGAAGGCGCAGGTAGCGAGCTCCTGAGGTAAATCTTTTGGTAGCAGATGTGCAACAGTCCGGTCCTTCTACCTAGCAACCATGCAGTCGCTAGGTGCCATACACTACTGGTGGCAATCAAATTAAAACCAATCTGGCTTCGTCGTATGGCAAACTGATGTTTTTGACATTTTTATTGAATTTTTTTTATTAATCCAGGGTCCAGACTCGTTCGTATTTTTACATTTTCTTTTGTGTTATGTACGAATGTTGACGGACCGACTGAGCTCTCTAGCATCCATGCAGCGTGGGTTAGAAAGCTGAAAATGCTGTTTGTAGCAAATAAGCAACAATAACATTTTCGGACCTACTGCTTACAAATTTTATTTAACAAATTTTTTTTTTCCACTTGACCCGTGTTCTAGGACGTGAGTGAAACCTACCAGATTTTTTTCGCCAAAAAAGAAAAAATCATGCATTAAAGGGTTAATATTTTATCCTGTTTATCTCGTTTCATCACGCGAGCGATTTCCCAAAAGCAACTGGAACTTTACTTTTGTGCTCGCACCTCGGCGCCGATCGGGGGACTCACCGACCTGCCTCACGGACGAGGGATCATGAATATTTTCGCGGTGTTTTTTCTTCTGTACTTCAGAATCCGCCGAATCTGACTCGCCCCTACATCAGGGAATTTGCAGATGGGATTTCGCATTCCTGGATTTTCATCTCGAGAAACGATGACTTCTACATAAACGCAGTTGTCTTCAGTTTAAGTTAGTTTTTTAATTTGCTTGGCCGTGAATCATTCCAGCGATCTGACAACGTATAATCTAAGATAAGGTCCAAGCATTTCTATAAAATGAGGGGTGACAATTGAGAAAAACGTATTGGATCAAACTATGTAAAATATTTAGCCAAGGCACAGAAAATTCGAATCCACCTAGGCTGCAGGATCTGTCAAATCTCATTGAGATGCAGGGAGTAATATGACAGCTCAATCAGTTGACTTACATGCAGCTCCATCTACTTTTAGGCAATAAAAAGTTTTGTGACCCACTGTACCCTCGTCTTCCCAATTGTAAAAGGTGTAAGATAATACGATGTTTTAGTTTCGGCATAATTTTTGGCTATGGGTTAGGGGTTCAAAACTCACGTCTGGGTGAAAGATTCAGTTCAAGAGATTCTTTTTCGAAACTGTAGCGCTTCAAAGTAGTCGTGGCTTCAAGATGGTACGACAGTATTTTTTTTCTCAAGAGATTATTAAGATTCCGCCCAATCACCTTCCTGGGAAGAAATAGGAGAGAAGCGTTTAGATGGAAAGTCAGGTATTATTTATATGTTACTATCATCTTCCCATCCTTACCTCTCTATCAAGAGACTGTTTCCCGTTGCCAAGGTCATCACGATCTACACGAGACTGGAATAGACTTCCTTGCCAAGGGGAACCACTCTCTCCATGCAATATGTAAGAATTGCTAGGAGTCTTCTTGAGCTATGTTACGTCTCTCAACAAATGAACTAATTGGAATGACTTCCTTGCTTCGGCTTGTACATGGGAAATAATCCAGTAGAGAATGAGAGCTTCAGCAGAACAATTCATTACCATTAAGGAAATCAGGTGACATACAGCAGTGGGTTCATTGCCACCTCACTTATATTGTGGGAACTTCACGTTTATTGAATAAACTGCTAGATGTCAGGCCAGATGGAGGGTCTCAACGGAGCGGGGACTCTATCCAAGGACATCCATGGGTAGACCCTGAGAGGATGTCCTTGGAAGTTCCTTTGGATGTCCATCTTTGGACATCCATTGGACACAATGACACATCATTTCGTTCCCAAAGTCGAACTCTATAGGAAATCATACATGTCAAAGGATAACGTCACACTGTCCATAAAATGATTGAAGTTACTGGATTTCGGCCTTAGATGAGACATTTGAATTTAAAAAATAGAACCATAGAAATCCCACGATCGGGTGCTCGCAGCGTCATACCAAAAAACCATCATTCAATAAAATGGAAATAAGTGTTCGATGTCGGGAAACTCTGCTCGGATGAAGCTGAGAATGCATGAGAAGATATCGATCCATGGGGATGACGTCCTATGTACATCCACAGGACGACTGCTTCTGGACTTAACCCATCTCTGGACAACTAGACTGTCCATGGGCGAGTTTTAGACCATCCATGGCTATTTGGATAGGAGAGTTCCATTTGAAGGAGAGAGTGGGTAGGTAAAAAAATCTGCCACACCACTTCTCCATTGCATTGGACAGTAATTGCACTTACTGGACTGGTCTGTTGATGTCAGGTCTCAGGGTACATTTACTTGATTATCGTTGAGATGGAGGGTGGAAGCGATCAGTCAGATGATCCAGTAAAGTTTAATCCTAACCGTTATCTTGCCCGGAAATTTTCTTTTTCGTATTCTTTTATGGGATAAGGCTCAGACCTGACTATTAGTCTCATTCGACCACAAGCACGTTCCCGCCAACGAACCACTCCATAAAGATGATTCATCAAAGTTTTATTCGATAACCTCGGTACCGAAACCAACAAAATTATACCAAAGCGCTGGCATTAATATAGGCAGAGCATATCCCATCCGTTGGCCAGAAATGACTCCTTTTTCACATCGACCTATATATTAACTGGACAAATTTTAAAGGGAATATCATCCATGCACTCAATTTTTTTTACTTAAGGCGTTTGTTGAGCGATGATTTCCCAAAACATTGGGCAAATGTCGCCCCAAGAAATCAGTTATGAGGTATGGTAATTAGTATGCATGAGGCCTTCAGAGCATACATACCATCTATCTCTAGGATTTCGCAAAGGACAAAATGTACGAGTATAAGAGTTCCTAGAGAACTAACTTGAAGAATGACTGTCTTCGATAACTCGTGCCACTGAACATAAGAAGGCATCGATCAATTACATTTCAAGTAACATAAAAGGCTTGGGACTAATTAAAAAAAAAAGAGTATTCTGCTGCTCGTAGCCTAGTCTTCAAGTTTCATCCTGGAAATTTATTTCTTTTGACACACGCTCTGATACATCAGGGTATTTCCTAAACATTTCTGTTGCGCAATATCGAGCTGTCAAGGATATGAATTTCCAAATTTTGGTTTTTATTGGAAATGCTGAAAGCCATAAGTCTTTCACAAATAGGCGCCCGTCTACGAACTAGCGTCTCTACCATATCTCAGCTCCCGGAAAACTCCCTGCTTTCACAAAACTTTCACCTAGCATAGGATATACGGTTTGATCCAAAAGTTTTAGGACATGACATCATATTTGGGGGCAGGATCTTAATGAGGTGTTTCCAGAAGCTGCAGGACCGCTGGCAGAGGTGCGTGGACTCCCTAGGGGACTACTTTGAAAGTGACTCCAGCAAGTAACTCCTAGACCCCAGTCCACAAAAATGGTATGTCCAACAAAACCTCGTACATCCATCTTCGGTTTTTCATAAAAACTCGTTGAGACGGAAAGGTTATCAGCAACTATTCAAAGAAGTTAGATATTGGAAAATACGAGAACCCCTTGTGCTGATCGTTTTGAGATCCACGCCCGAACGCGGTTCTTGTATACCATCCAATTTCTCATCCATTCAAATTCCTTCCATAGGTTAGCCTTTTCTTGCAGATGGTTTTGATAAGTTGTTTTTTAAATTAATGACAATGAATCAACGGAGAGATTTTCTCTTGGTTTACGTAGGATAGCAAGGCAGGTGAAGTCTAGTCACTCGAAAGGGGTTGGAGCTCTGTTATTTTTCACATTTCTTTTAAATTTCTCAGCGCCTAGGTTAGGCACGTCCAAGTTGGAAGAAATTTCTGTCTGTCAGCGACACATCAATCTATGCACAATGCAAGTTTCCTGGAAGTAGACAGAGGGCAGAGATCAAGGTTCAAGATTCCGGTAGGGATGCCAAGTGGCACTTGTCCCTTATAACTTCCCATATCAAGTTCGAATGCTTATATCCACCTACTGATGAGTTCACTTACAGCAACAATACTCCCTTTGTTGCTTTGGCAAAGCTCACTGGTCTTTGTTTTTCTACACCATGCATTTACAGTCTATGAATATAAAGTCTGAAGTAATGATTAGCGAAATTCAAGTGATATTTCAAGTCAAAATTAGAAACCAAAGAAATAACAGAAGCCATTAACCCATGACAATAATCATGATGAATTTCAGTGTTCCAAAGTGCACATATGCACTAGGTTATCGATTTCAAGTTCACAAGGCACATTAGTGCTGCTGGTGAATGCAAAATCACCCAAAATCAATTTTCTTGCTACATACTGATTATCACGTCTAAGTGAAAAGGAGGAAAACACAGAATCTCATGACAAGCAGAAAAAGCAAACTTTGAAGCAGTGGTAACCGGCAAAAAAGAAGAGCATCAAAGTTTAATCGATGATCACAACAACATTCCAGCCTTCGCAATTAACAAGAAGAGGAGAGATAGAAGAACGACTCTACTTCCATCGCCCAGGATACTGGGCTTCCCTGTTGGTCAAGGGGACATACATGACCCCCATCAATGAGGTCCTCTGTATACTCCCGTCCTCCAGTTTGTCGATCTGCTCCAACTGCTGGCTCCCGCCCTCGGGCCCGACAGGGATCACGAGTCTCCCGCCGGGTTTCAGCTGTTCCACCAGGGCTTTGGGTAAGGTAGGAGCAGCCGCCCCGACATGGATGGCATCGTATGGCGCCTCAGAAGGGTAGCCCTCCCGCCCGTCGCCGACTACCAATACTAGTCGTCCCGAGTTCAGGAGGTCCCCGTTTGCTTTCTGCACGTTCACCTCTGACTCTTGTACCAGTTCAGGGATGTGGTCGATCCCGATCACCTTCCCTGCATTCCACGTTCAAGCCATCTCCTTAATTACACCAGATGGCAATCGAGCGAGTGAAAAGGATGCGAATGCAGTAATTGGTGCATTGAGTCAGTATTGACCCGTGACATAATAATGAATAACTCAGAAGTTCAAAATATCAAGTTCAGTTGTCAGCAAAACGGTGTGAAATAACTTTGTAATGCATTTTATCGCCGTCTCAGATGTGCAAGGATCAATGTGGTCATAAGAGCCTTCGGCAAGCTGAATCCAGAAGATAAGGAATAGAAGCAAGCAAAACAGACATGCAACAGCACGGCAACTGAAACATGTTGAGGGGTGATGGATGTGAGCTTTTAGCTTCAACAAACCACTTCAGAATGAAGGAAGAATCGATGGGTGTCATCCATGGGCACAGTACGTGGAGTTCAAACGATTCAAAGTAATATTTTATATGTTGAATGCATGATCTCATTCTTCTTGATTGCCATCTCCAATATCCTGCAGTTCATTCATGTGAGATTTAAAAAAACTCAAGGCACTTCTTTTTGCATTCCATGAACCATAGTTTCCCTTGGATGACGCTCATTCAGATTGGACTAGTTAGTCTAAGCTCTTGACTTCACCACACTTCAACAGGTACTTCAGCAGTTGTGCTGTTGCTAGTCTATTCTGTTTGTATTTACTTAAAATCTTCTAGACTCAAGCAGGTTGAAATGGACCTCTTTCAATCACACAGACTCTTGTGCTTCTGAGAGAGTGAAACAATTATTTTTTCTCCCTTCTCAATTCTTCTCACATCACTTTGCTCACAGCTGAATTTGATACTTTGAATGTCTGAGTTATTGTTGTTATGGCAAGGGTGAATGCTTAGCTAAAACACCAATTGCAACTACTTTTAGTGGGATGTGTCCTTCATTTTACATCTCCAGGCACATTAAATGATTTTGAAAGAAGTCTCACCAGCATCCATTACCAATCAAATATTACTGACATAACAATGACAGCTCCAAGGAAGCTGTGAAACATTATGAGGTTGAAATATTCACAGGCTTATGCTTATCTATAGGAACACACACACTGGAGATGCACACAATTACAAACATGATAACATGCAAAAAAATGCCACCAGTGACTTTTAGCATAGATTCCATCCCATACCTATGTCATCTTATTGAATATTTTCTCCTAGATGTAGACATTTCAGAGAAACAGAACCGTGCTTCCAATTATCAATATTTACAAGAAAAATTAGTTAAAATAGAGTCCCTAGTGATACATTACTTTTGCTTCCTACTTCTCCTTTTATGAAGGTCCTTGAGGTGATATTGATTTGTCCAACTGTTATAACCTAGAAAGAAACCTATTATTTTACAGTGCCTTTCACTGGCATGAGCATCTCCTGATGCCCAGGAGATGCCAATGCCTCCTCTGCTGAGATCTCCAGGAGAATGCTTGGAAATTTAAATTTATGTCTGCAAGTGATGAATTTACCATGTTCTCTCATTTTCATATCAGATGATGCCAAATTTCCACACTCATTTACTACACACATAGAGCAAGTGACATATGAGTGCTTTCATCAGGAGGCAGAATGACTTTCCATATTGAAAAGGTGAATACATAGATGGAAAAGTTGAATTATTGGTCAAAATTTTTAATGCTATCGAATGGATTGAGAATGAATTAGCATGCAGAAAAAATGACATTGATAGGTTGATGTAAGCAAAGCATTGATATCAAATGAGGAGGGGGTCTTAGAAAAACAATTTCCAAGCTTCCCTAAGTTTTTCAAATTGCTACCATTGGTCTATTTTGAATGAAGATCACTTTTTTCTCATTCTATAGGCATTTACTCTTCTACAGGTGCTCTCACCTATACAGATTATTAGCCACAGCAAGAACATTGTTTAACAGATTGCAATTTTAATTTTAAGCGTTAAATACTTATAACTAAGATTAAGATAAGACTAAGATTTTTTTTTTTAGAATAACCAAGTTGATCAGTTTTATAAAGTTTTGTTTGCTTATGTTCAAAAATTTTAAGTGGACCATCTTGTTCTTTGAAATGGGATCTTTGATCAATTCTTTAAAGATTGGTTTGGTCTTTGAGCGATATGGGAAGTCAAATTAATGCATACCTGTCTCTCCAACAAGTAATGCCATGCATGCACAGAGGTAGCCAGATCCAGAGCCAACGTCCAAGGCCTTACTGCCCTCTTTCAGGTGATCTTTGAGGAGGCTCAGAGCATGACCATGCATGTGCGGTGCTGATATTGTCACCCCATAACCAATCCCTGCATACCAAAACAGAATACAGACAGGCACCAACTTCTACATAAGCATGTTTGCATAAGTAAGAATTCCTGCTTTAGATTCAGCTACAATCATAAGCTTCTCCAGGATGATCAAGCATGTCAGGGGAGTGACTTCCTCTGGAACTCAATTAAGAGGAAAATTGTGAATGGGAGTCTTAGATGAGCTCAAAATTATGAAGAATAATAAGCAAATCAGAAAAATGTTTATTTTCCAACACACACACACACACACACAGTGACGATTTTATCATGGCGACCGGCATCAATCCGGCAGCAGCAAAACAGATTGATTGCTGTGGTAGGAGAAATATTGAAACATATTGAACATCACCTTCGTTACTCCAGCGTCTTTCGCAGGGTGTTATTATTTGGCTCTTTTCAAATGTACCTTTCCATTAACTTCCATTATCAAGTGTACCTTTTCAATGATTTTCATGAAAACTTCAGGCTGAATGAAAATGAGATTAACTGAATGGAGATCCCTTGATTCCACAACTGTTTTTCACCACAAACTGTAAAGTCGTCACTGCACAAAACTGAACTGATTTTCATGAAACAAAGTGCATTCAATTACAATCTAGTCATGCTAAACAATGGCATTATTGCTGGCACTTAACTTAATTCATGAAAATGTGACAGAGGAATTAAAAAGGAGAACTTTTTTTGGCCCACCCTGTATATACAGATGACATAAATTGTCCTAATGCTTCCTAGTTTTGACTTTGTGCTGCCATAACTCTTCAACTAGATATTATATCTGAATCCCAATGTCCTCCTCCCCAAAAGCAATGGTTATTCTCTTTTGCTTGACACAAGCTGCTAGTCAATTCATTTGCTACATGCTGTGTAATATAAGATTGAATCAAGCTCACCCATTAGGACAGTTTCTGTCTTCTTCATTTTCTAATCATTATCACAAATTTTACTCAGTGAACTTTCCATTAGTCTTTAGTGCTGACACAACTCTCCTCTGAATGCTTTGAATCAGTTTGACACATTTTGATATGTGAATGATGTTCCATTCGACTTCAACTCATGACCAAAACTCATGCATGCACCTAGACCTGAACTCAAGCCCATTTAGGTATCCCTTCAAATGATCCCACAAGCTCTTGCTGGATTTAAGGTTGGGCAATTGTAGTGGGCAATCTGCAAGTTTGATTGTTTTGTTTCTGAACCACTCTTAGGCTTTTTGCGGTGAGCCTCGGATCAATCTTCTTTTGAATAATTACTTGATCCACATGAAGCTGGCAGTAGTTGGTGGTTCCCTCAAGATCATCTTCAAGGATGTGACAGTAGAGGTCAGTGTTGAGTCTCTCGAGTCTCTCTTTATATTCAGCACAGATTGCCATTCCCCTTGGCTGTTGTAAATCCCCAAACCATCAGAGATCCACCATTATGTTTGACAGTGGGTTGGACATGATGAAGTTGTCTGGGTGCTTTAGGTAGTTTCCTGCACAATTGTTCATTGGTTCCAAATCTATTAAATTTTGCACTCATCTAAGCAAGAAACACACTTTGAAAGGTCTTCCATCCAACCATTGTATTTGAGAGGAATATACTAGGAGTGCCCAATAATTTCCTGCACACCATTTTAAAGTACTAATGGTGGGATGTAAATAAAAATTGATACACATAAGCAACCAGGCCTGTTCTATTCCTCAAAATATTCAGTGTTCACATTGATGCACTTCTGCCATCTGGAGGGGAAGGGGCATATGACCCCTTGATAGAAGTCTGTATCTTGTTGATGAAGCCAATGGGTTGAAGCATTCTGAAGGTCTTCACTTCTAGAAAAATGCACCCCTTGAAGATGTGCCTTCATTGGTCAAAACAAATGAAAATCCTAGGGTGCAAGGTCTTGACTATAAGGTGGGTGAGTGATTACAGTCCACTGATCACAGGTGATGAGCTGTGGAACCTTGAATAACTCATGTGAGCAAACATTGTCATGCAACAGGCACACGTCAGTGTCCCTCATTTTGGGTCGCTTTCTTTTCAATTCCTTCTCGAGTTTGTGTAGTGTCTGGCAATATCTGTCACCATCGATCATTATGCTTGATTCCAAAAATTCCAATAGTATTGGACCATTCTTGTCCCAAAAAAAACTGTAAGCATGACCTTTTTGTTGGATGCTTGAGATTTGAACTTTCTTGATCTAAGAATGGGCTTCCCAACCCAGGGGTCATGAACCAGCAACTAAATGCCAAGTTATGTTTTTCTTTGTAATTTTAGGGCATAGGTGAGGGGGCCTGTCAAACTTCAGCCAGTGCTTGGGGTCCTGAATGGTATGATTGTGACTTTTGGGGTCGTGTGTGAAAAGGTTGGGAAGCCCTGGTCCAGGAGATGAAGAATGCTGCCATTTCTTTGACTGTCCCTTTGTTCCAGATTATAGCAGTGCACAGGGAATATTTTGAGGAATAGTACAAGCCTGGCTGCTTATTTGTTCCAATTTTTATTTACATATCACCATTTTTTTAATGATGTGCAGAAACTTATTGGGCACCCCTCATATAGTCAAGCCTTCTTCTGTCTTGGTGAGAGCATACATTCTTGACCTTGGGTGCAGCCTTAAAGCAATCCTTGTGAGAAAGTTCAGTAATTAGGTGCTGGCATTGGTCTTCAAGGCTGCTATCAGCTTTCAGCACCTTGCTTTCATGCTGTAGTCACCTCATTAAAAGGATTTGTCTTGCAATTAAGGGCTTCTGGCACTGGGAAATCATGCCTGAAATGTGAAATTATGGCTGAACTTTGACTTTACTGCATTAGGAAGTTCAAATTTTTGGCAATCAGAAACAGTATTTCAAGAAACATTGAGTATGAAGGCAATTTGACATGTTGAATAGCAGTCTTCAAGAAGTTTTGACACTTTTGACACATGGTTTCTGAGGAGAGCAGCTTCATGCTTTCAAAGAAAATGTGCAATGGATGTTAAGTCCCCTATAAAATTTCAAGTCCACAACCCCATTCTGTTAAATGACAGCATAAGTGATTTCTATCTGGTACACTCAAGTTGGGGCTGATCAATTGATTTATCGAGGAACAAAACACAAATTAAGTCAGAATAGGAAAAAGACAGAAAGTGTCCTATTGCTTGATTCAATCTCTTGTTATTCAGCATATAACAAAGCAATTAACAAGGGCAGTGGTGCAACCAGTCCTAAAGTTTGGGGGGGTTTGAAGTCCACATGACCTGTCTTTCAAATGTCTCTGAATGCAAGGTGTTATCAAATCATCAGGAGAGATATATACTCAACAAAAACGCAAAACGGTGCAAACACACGAACAATGAAAATGAAACGAAGAAAAATGTTATGAAATGGTGGAAACGGAATTTGAACACTAAATGAAAGTACATTCTATATCTGAAAAAGCTTAAATTTAACTAAATTAATTTCAGGATTCAGCCCAAATATCACTGCTCAAATGTGAAACTGGAAATTCATTAACCTGTACGATTCATGCCTTTTGAATTGTCATCCTTCCATTTTCATTTAAAAAATTCAGTAGCATCACACGTGCAGGATGTTTCCTTGACAGTTTCACTTTACTGAAGTGAGTTGCTACATGTAACTGGGATGCCCTTCACCTTTCACCTCCTACCTTTGTGCCTTTCCAGCCTCGCTCTCAGGTCGTTTGCTTATGTTATCTTTCTGCGTCCCCCACCCTAGGGAGAGAGGGGGGGTGGAGAAGTAGAGGGATACCATTATGAGCAGGGGTTTGGGGAGTGTTCAGACCCCCTGATCCCCACCTTGGTTGCACCCCTGAACAAGGGGCTTAAGATAACCAAAAGAGAGAACCCTTGCTATCAGGAGAGGGTACTGAGTTTCAGATTCCACATCTTGTTGGGGAGTTAGGACAGCACAAAGTAACAAGTACAAAACATTAGGACAGTTTACATCATCAATGTATAAGGGCGAATCAAATGAAAGTGAGCCAACGCGTGTTTATCAAGAAACGTGCACATTGAGTCCCATTGAGTCATTGAGCCTTGTGATGCCTCAGTCGAAGAACAATTGTGGCAACTGGTTCAAAATGTCTATAACGGCATCCTTCGCTGCAGCGTCCGACGTAAAGTGACGTCCCTTAGTCCCTTCATGCGCTTCTTCAGCTCCCCAAACACGTGGAAATCGCATGGGGATACAATTAATGCCCAACAATATTGCCAGATATTCACGTTGTCATGAACGCGCGATGTTTGGCTTTGATTGACTCGAAGAGAAAGAGGATCAACGATTAATTGTGATACTTATGTATCTTGTCCCATGCCTTATCTGTGAATGAAATTGGTTTTTATATCCATCCAATCCGCTCTGAGATATATTTGAAATACTGGGGGCAAAGACTTTTGCACCTCAGTGCATAATGGATAGGGATGTAACGAAATTATATCGGTATCGGTTATCGGGCCGATATTTACTAATCAGATAAATATCGGAATGGCGATATTTTGCTTCGTCGATATTCGATATCTAAGTGCATGATGAACGTCTGCTTCACTCAATATAAATGCAACGTAACCGCTAATACCATCATTCAGTGATGTTTCTGTCAGTATTTTTGCTCATGTAGTCACAGGCCTACCTCATTAACATTAGGCGCCATGAATGCTTCCCTGAATCCAGTTATCATATATCAATACTCTACACCATTCTCGCTGAAGGGAGTCTAATGATATTTGACACCTCTTTGGAGGGAGAGAGACT